TCCCATTAATAGCCCTGCGCGGAGTTACACGAGCATTTCAACCCTAAAATGGAAGGATCCGTAAGCTTTTTAGTCTGCTTCGTATATTAATCCGCTGAGCACACGCTGTTGTTGCCCAAGTCCATCATAAAGTTAACTAAGTTAGTAGCGGACGGACGAGACACACTGACCGACACTGTCGCAGACTTGTTCGATATGACATGTTCTGTAATTACATTGGTCTGTGGTGTCATGGTACCGGAACGGATGAGCTCATTTTTATTTAGGTACGTTATTTTTGGTCTATTTGACTTGGTTTTATACAATATTTTTTTATTTCTTTCAAAATTATTAACTTTTATTTAAGTTTTTCTACACTTTCACGTGTCAATTGATACAATATATTGATTGTACACATTGTTTGATACTTGTTAGTTTGGAATATGCTCAGCAGTAGACTTCTTTGACTTATAACATCAGTAATGTAAATACATGGACATGCTGTAGAATGGACATACATAAACTAATTGTCTGCAAAGGTATGGCACTCGAAGAAGAAACACTTTTCGGCCTTAGTTAACTCAAAAATGTTGTTTGTCCTAGTACAAAAGAATCATTAGACGCTAATAAAGGATTTTCTTTTAATCTAAACTAATCTTATCTTTTCAGGGACTTGAGTTTAGAAAAAAAAATACGTAAACAATGAATAAGATGAGACTTAAACTAAGTTTAAGCCGGCACCATTCATGAATCTGTTATCTGTTATCTTATCACCCTTGGCACTTTCATTCACTGGAGTGTCTTCTTAGGTGGCTATGTACTTATAGTTTTGCAACAAAAGAGTCCCACAGACAAACGTGGTGGAAATAAGACCATCAATTGGCAATTACATTGGAGTTTTTAATCATATTCTTCTAAATATGGCAACAAAAGAAATTAATAGGTACCATCGCAATCACTTGTAACTACAATAACTACTATGTTACACGTAATTGTGTTCTAGCACAGCGTACATAGGCACCCACTCATACATAATGTATTGAGCACGACTCATATATAAAGACTTACATAATTCATCCGAGCGCCACTTAATTACATTTCTACCAAACTCATTTGAAGCGAAGTATCTTTGAAAGTGCGAAATAAATGTGTCAGATGTTCACCAATTACAGGCTCGTCGAAGACATTTGCGGAGTGGGCGTGATCCCTCCTCCCCGGGGCCCTCGCACCTCCCCCGCCGCGAACAATAAGTAACAGTTTAAGGAGATTACGGCGGGCTGAGCGCTGCTAAGCAGATCGACACAACGCCACGCGAAGGCTCCCGCCCGAGTTAAGAACTTCTTAACTATTCAATACCTGCGCATGTAGGTTGATGGTGTAATGCGGTTTCGCTCCATGAATTTCATTAAGAAGTTTTCAAATGTTTGCCTTTGGATTTGAAGATAATAGTTATCGCGTATACTGTCATGAGTTATTAGTGTAGATGTACCTCTATTGATGTGTAAGTATCTCGTTATGAAGAAATGAGAGTAGAAATAAATGGTAATAATAACTTGTTGTAAGTATTAGTCTAGTATTTATCTTGAATAGGTCCCGATCCTGTATGAAAATCGGAATAAAAGCCCATGTTATCTGAAAAGTTAATTTTCCATGGTGAAATCAACCCAAAAATATGAATATCATCCAGACAAATTGTTCAGCTTGTAGCTACATCGACATGTGTGGTCGGGCTTAATTCGCCCCCACCCGTCACCCGTCGGTCGGTAGATGCTCGAATTTTTACCAAATTAATCTTTCTTCAAACACTTGAGTTCTTTGTGGAACAATTGACGGAGAAGCGAATTTGATGCGCAGATTTCGTGCACAACCCTAATGTACGGAAGGAGGGAACAAGGGCGAGCTAAAAGTTTCACTCACACTGTGAAAGGATCTTCAAAATTGATGAAATTATGAAGATTCCTTGGAATCTTTTTGAAATAGAATTATGGAGATAATATTAAGGGTTCGAAAAAAAAACAACGTAGACGTTATTTACGATATTATATTTTTGTATTTATCAACACGACTACACTGACACATTATTGCAAACTGACTACTTCTAATCGATTCAATAAATATACGTACCGGTAATACATATGTGTGTGAGTGCACTACGAAGACGATACAATTTACATTATGTACAATGCAATGTTCTGTGTGTATGACAAGAGATGGAGTCACATTATTAGATGGAAGGCAATGTATTAAACTCATTTAAAACTTTCTCATATTATCAAACTTATAACTTAGCACCAGTGCATAAAACGTTATGATGATTAAATTGAGCCTACAGGAACGCTTTTAATTTCAGTTATGTCAGAACAAACAACGATGTAAATGATTAAATGATGAATTTTTTTCCGTAAATGCAGCTACAAAATACCGTTTTAACATGTTAATGTTTCAGCTATTTTTCAATTAATTTTTCGATTTGTATGTACTTTTATTAATTAACTAATTGTTACAATCAATTTTACGGAGTATGTAGTGAATGGAATCCAAAGAAAATTATATTGTCAAGATTATAGATAGGTACATTATTAGTAATTAAGCGAATCTCTTGTCATACACACATACGTACATACATACTTTGCTTACAATAATATTTACATTGAAACCACACTTGATACCGTCATACATTTAGATAATAAAGTAAAACAACACGTTTTATTGAACCGAACATTTAATCAATATGGCGACGTTTATACATTTCAAATTTAAAATATTGAAAACTATGTTAGCTATCGAAGCGCTTAATAAACTATGTGTTTTTACTTAAATTAATATAACTTATCGGTGGATAAAAAGAACTACAGTAGGTATTATAAAAGCAAACTGTCGTTATGTTATTTGGTAACCATACATAATACAGAATTTATAGTTGTCTATTTACAAGTGTTCACTAATCTACTTGACTACAATAGATGTTGAGATCTAGTAGAATGTAAAGTAAATGACAGTTTCGTATAGTACAATAGAATAACGTTGAACGTTAAGGCACACGTCTTAAAAAATAGCATGCTCCTTTACATTTTGCAATGAGATGAAGATACTTATGAAGACAATGTTGAAAACAAAATACATAGAAACCTGTCGATAGTATAACACAAATAACATCTTAGAGTGACAAAACGCGTTCTAAAGGCATTGCAGTGACTAAAACCAGATATCTGAAAGGCTGGTCAACTCTTAGTCGGCTGTCAAATTCTCTTGACAACTGTCCATTGAGTTGCTAGAAGCTTGATCATACTTGAATTCATTCAAGAAGACTATGTAATAACCTTTGGTATTTAAGCATGTAGTACATGATTATATTGGTTTGACGAACCTCGCAGTCGGACAGTTGTAATCTACGTGCTCGCCGTCCGCAGGCCCGTGCTTACGGTGGCCGGAGATCGTCTCGCAATCCCCGACTCCCGGAGTGTCTCTCGCGACAGCCGGGGCGTGAGGAGGTTCCTTCCCTCATGCGCTCTGCCTCCGGAGGAGACGGCATCCCAGTCCCCCTTGCTCCGTACCATGGTAGTGAATCAGAGCCGGACGCGAGAGGTCGCCGTCGCCGATCACATCCCTGAGGACACGGCGGTGCTCAGCCCATGCAGGCACACCGCCACCGTATGCTCCACCGTGTCCTCCGGGTGATCCTCGTAGTGATGACACCCGGGCGTTTCCTCCCGCCCTATCTGAAACAGGAACCTACCGAAACTTTCGTGTCCGGTAAGCACCTGCGTCAGGCGGTAGGTGGGACGCCGTAGCGTCTCTCAAGTCACTCCTCAAAGAGGGGACATACCGCTGCAACGACAGCGAGCCCAGCCCTCGGCTGCGTGATGTATACATTTGGAATTACGTCTTCATTCTACAAAGTACAAAATAATATTTATTTATTCCAATACGCTGACCCGACAAACATCGTACCGCTTAAAAATATTTTTCTCATCTTTTAAACCTTCCTTGGAATTTCCCGAACATTTCAAGATTGGCCAAATCGGTTCAGCCAGTCTCGTGTATTAGCGAGCTAACGAAAGGAAGTAGTACATTTTTATTTATATAGATTTAAAACAAATCAGTCACTTACATAATTTTCGCTCTAAAATAAACGGAGTGGTAATTACTACGACTTATTGTATTGTAACTACGATTATAATGTGCAATATACAATTATTTCCATATTATATCAAGATGCACTCCACAGTTCACAAGACTGCGCATCTACTAAACATGGCTATTCACCTACGGCAGTACGTAACGTTCAGTGTTTCTCATTTAATGTACATTGATAAGTACCTATTATTTATTGTTAAGTTCTATTGCACAACTGACTAAACTTATTGACTGAAATATAGCAGTATTGTTTTCTGCAATAAAAACTCTTTGTAAGATCTTCATTGTTGTTCCTGGTCTAGGTGCGGTGTCTGTTATATCACAGCCAACAAGCTAAATCATAAGTCAAACGAATGGTCAATCAACCAAAGTCTGCCAAGGCTGACTTTACATGATTCATTAAATTGGTGATTGTCTCATTCAACCGTAACACGGAAGAAAATTGTTGTGTGATAGCGAGAGAGGGAGTAACAAATAGAATTCAGGGAATGTATCTCTAAATGCCTTATCATAGAGGTACTAGCGGATTGGGAGCGAGTTTAAAGCGGAGCGAGTGTGCAACGAACACTGCGGCTGCCAACGATTGCGTTGCGTAGCAAGCACGTCGTGGACACGTGGAAAATACGTTGTTTAGCGCGTATAAAATTTTAGTTTGGGTCCGCGACGTCCTCGCTGCGTAGTCGCAGCTTTGTTGCGAAGCATTCACTGCGCGCCCGTCCGGCAATCGCCTCCAAACCGCTAGTCTGATAAGGCCCTAAGAGTTAAATGACCCAATTTTAATCGAACACTATCACGTCATTATGTCCATCAAACAGAAACATGAACCGTTACAGCAACGCATTCAAATGTCCAGGTGTAACACAGGCACTCACACTTTGTTCAGGTTACGTGTGGACTTTGTTATTGTGTTGGAGTGCTACACGGTCCTGTAGGAGGGCGTCGTGGGCTCGTAGGCGTAGAGCTTCAGCACTGGCTAGGCGGGCCAGCGACGGTGACGGCGAAGGGGGCGATGGAGGTGAAGCCGGGGCCGGCTCAGGCTCAGGTGGACGCAACGCTGGTGGTGGAAGCGCCAGTACGTATCTGTTGAGGATGTTTCATTTAAAGATAGGCTGTCAAATATCTGATTTATTGCTTTAATACTTGTAGGAACAAGTAAGTCGCTTTGATTGTGTTGTTAAACTATTTAAAAGTAGATTAAGATTCTTAAAATAAAATCTAAGCGTTCGGTCACCGAATTGCTCAAGTTCTAACAAGTTTGGTTATTTATTTTTATAGAGGGGTCTAGAGTATTTCAATTACCTACCTGTGTAGCAGCGCTCTGAAGGCGGCGGCTGGCTCGGCATCATGCCACAGTGGTGCGGGTACTCCCAGCGCGCCCAGTCCAGCTCCGAGACCGAGAGCCCACCACTCGCCGCCTGGAGGGCCACCGCCACCCCATTCTCCTACCACTGAAACAAAATGAACTGTTACCACATACTGCCAAAACTTGGGCGCCTTTATGTTGTCACTTTGGAACAACCTAAAATTTATTTACACGTTCTTCTCTTTAGGAACGAAACAAATAAAATATAGGTTCAACGGAATGGCATGCTTTAGGTCTATAATTTTTATTTAAAGTGAGTGCACTTTTATCCCTAAAACGACAAGTAATCGGTCAGCTTGTGTTCGACAGCCGAACTACTAAACAAATAACTGATTCACCTAACAAGACTAAACTAATAAAACGAATTTGTGCATTCCCCTTTAAGTAAAAGCAACCCTTTGAGGAAATCAGTACGGTTAATAGATAATATGAATAATGTAAATATTTGTTCTGATTAATACCCTTGCAGCAGGTGTGAGCAATGATAGCTGACACAGTGCCGCCTTTGTAGTGTAACGTTGCACCTGCCTTGTGGCAGCAACCGGTGCTGCTGTAGAATGTCCAATTGACTGCCATAATTTATGTGACTGTCATTACCACCCCTACCTTTTTCTATTTTTTTAAGCCAACTAAGGAACAACTATGTACTGATAGGGCAGCACTGCTTTCCAATACCCCTAAAAATATTAAACTGTGATTTTAAACGATCTATCCTGTGTATTTATTTAGGTCCAGCACCCTTTCAATTAGCGTGCATATTTTATCAAAATATGGTCAGTAGTTTTGGGTGTGAAAAAGAAAATACTTTCCAACTAATAGCGTACTAATGACATGGCTAACAGCTTGTCTAAACATGAAGTAAGCGTATCAATACAAATCATAAGCAATTACCACAATTGTCGCGTGCCGGGCGAATAACGAGCGAGCGCACATGGACAAATATCATAATCATATGCCTACACACACACAGAAACGTTAAAAACTGATTTAAAATCAAATTCCTTATCCGACTGCCAAAAGGAGGGATATGTTCTTACGTTTCCGAAACTACAAAAGTCGAAAAGAACTCCTGACTAAGTAACAAACTCCAGTTATCTCATACCCAATAAACAATTTTAATCCAAAGTATCTGAATTGATTTGTATTTTAGACAGAAATTCAATAAAACTCATCGGTTATCAATTTCAGCCGTTAAAACAGGCAGTACCCACCTAGGAAATTAATAAAAAATCAATGAGGTATACCACCGCACCGTGATAATATTGATGAATGTACCTAAATAAATCACCCTAAAACATAATCTGAAATTGATTGGACTACTTTCAGTGACACCAATACGCACACATTCAAATCTCGTAAACGTGTTAACAGTAAATATATCACCCGGTAAACGGATTGCTAGTAATTTGTTGTTATCGGCACATCGCGTAAATCGGCCGGTCATTATACACACATTAGTGGTACGACACCCTAATACACGACAACACCGGTGTGTGTGTGTGTGTGTGTCTTTTTCCGTAACAATTAGGCCTACTGTACGAAGCGTCATTTAACGAATGCATGCATTAGTCTAAAATAATGAGAGGATTTAACGCTGTCGCTTCGTGGACGGTTTTCATTTTTTCTAAGTAAGATGCAAGCATTCGTCATTTATAGGCCGCATATTTTTTATGAAGGATGCTTGCATTCGTCAAATGACGCAACGTGGACCTACCCTTACCCTTACTTTGTGGTGTTATCCTTACTTTTACTCTAGCTTTAGATCTTTGATTGTTGTTCGTTACAATTTACTATTTAATTGCTGTCTGGTATTATACTCGTATTTTTGGAATAAAAACGTTATCTACGTGTAATTAAGGAGCGTAATGTTTTGTGGAATTAGGTAAATAAGATACATTTTATGTTACACGTTTAATTTATTTTTAATGGCCTTTAAAGCTACTTAACACACCATTTAGTATCCAAAACCGTGGGCAAAGAGACATTTATTTTCACGAAACACCCATCCATACACCAGTACTCCTATAATATTAAGGGTGTATATTACGTAATTTAATTGTCATAATTTTAGTTTTCTCGATAGACATAAAAGAATCTAATAATACTTTGGTCGACGAGAATCAAAACTGAAACTTGATACTTGTCTCGACGGAGTATTGAAATTGGTCCCTACCCATTCTTGGACTAAAAAGTGTTTGAAGAAATTGTATTAGGTTCGATAAAAATGCCAAATGGCACGGCAATTTACTGTAAATCAATTGTGCACACAAGACATGTGAAGTTTTTAAGTAGCGAGTTGTGAGGGTCTGTTACATCGGTGTAGGGTGCCGAGCAATTACGCTGCAATCGGTATTAATTGCGTCGGTGATTTCGGTGTGACTGACACCCAGTCCTACAGCCAATGTCTTAGGTCCATGTTAGGGCTCCCACGTACCTATACAGTGTGAACCCTTCAGTTGTAGAAATGTCTATTCCAAAGAAGAATACGTACCGTCACCAACCCTACTCTTCTCAAGGATGTCCTACAAAAAAGGCTAAGGGACGTGCTTTATGATACACCTGAACCTTTTAAACTGTTATCACCAAAACGACCGAAAACGTAAAGATTACACTAGTTTACAAAATTTAACTTTTTGTTTGTTGCCGCGAATTTTGTGGTTGATAATGTTCACTTATGACTTGTTTTCGTCAAATCTACCCTCAAAATCTTTTGAGCAGCTCGAGTTACTTTGTTTTTGATTTTTGTCATTTAAGCGTGTATATTAAGCGATAACAGGCATATTTTACTGTGTTAAGATTAGTATCCGAAGTTTTTGCGTCACGAGTAGTTCAAGGAGACGTTGTTTAAACAATCCAGATCACTTTTGTTGTATATGCGGGGAATATGTGTTTAACGATTGTAGAAAAGTTATATCAGAGTTGGTGAAAAATACCTATTTTGAGTATTTTGGAATGCTCTTGGATAAAAATGAGAAGTCTTGGGCTCCCAATTGTGTTTTTAAATCGTGTGTGGAATATTTAAGATTGTGGAAAAATGGTAAAAGAAGTGCCTTTAAATTTGGAACACCGACTATTTGGCGAGAACCACGAAATCATCTTGAAGATTGTTATTTTTGTAGCGTAAACGTAAACGGTTTAAATACTAAAAGTCTAGCTAAATGGCGTTTATTCATTGACAGCTCAAAACGTAGCCTAAAATGTATTCTATTACATAATGGAAATAAATACGCTGGGGTACCTATTGCCCACAGTACACAGTTAAAGGAAGAATATTGTAACATTTCGCTAGTCTTGAACAAAATAAAATACAATGACCATAAGTGGCAAATTTGTGTCGATTTAAAAATGGTGAACATTCTTCTCGGTCAACAAAGTCGTTACACTAAGTTTCCTTGTTTCATATGTCTTTGGGACAGTAGAGCTAAACAAGAGCATTGGATAAGAAGAAACTGGCCCTTGAGAGAAAGTATGAACTTATGAAGCCTGGAAAGCAAAATATAGTCCAGAATTCATTAGTAGCTCGTGACAAAATTATCCTTCCACCATTACATATAAAACTGGGCATCATGAAACAGTTTGTTAAATCACTAGATAAAGACGGGAACTGCTTTTCTTACATTTGCCAAAAATTTCCTCAGCTCACTATGGAAAAAATAAAAGCCGGTATTTTTGACGGCCCCCAAATTAGACAACTTACGAAAGATACTCAATTTAGAAATTCTATGACTAAGTTACAACTAAAGGCTTGGACAGCTTTCGTCTCTGTGATGCAGAATTTTCTCGGAAATAAAAAATCTGAAAATTATATTGAACTTGTAGAAGACCTTCTGCTACAGGTAAAAAATATGGGGTGCAATATGAGCATAAAACTCCATTTCCTCCATAGTCAGGTTTCCGGAAAATTTAGGAGATATGAGCGAAGAGCAGGGAGAGCGTATGCATCAGGACTTACGTGTCATGGAAGAGCGCTATCAGGGTTTCTGGGATACAAATATGATGTCTGACTATTGTTGGTCGCTAATACGTCATTTTCTAAAGTCTACACATCAGAGAAGAGCTTTAAAATGAAGTTTTTTAGAACTCAATGATTAATTATTTTTTTTAATAAAGCTTTTCTTAGTAAATACATGTTTTTTTTCTGTTTTATAGCTACATAGCTGGAACTCAGAAACTAGAGCTGATAAAAATCTTTTACTTATATTTTTGAAAATAGCATATCATATGTAGTCAGCAACAGCTAAAATTTCTTTGGCAACAGATGTACTGTAAACTAGTGTTATGTATGCCCTTTATGTAGAAGAGGCCCCTAATACAGTGGACTATCTCACAAGTAAAAGGACATAAGTTCCATAACACTAAAACCAATACAAATTAACGGAAATCCAGTTAAGTATTTAAGCAAGTAATAGGGCATTGATAAAAGTATCGAAACGACCATCAGCCCTAGTTTATGTACAGATTGCTTGCTCACACGACTGATAGGGATCGGTAAATGATCGGTAAACATCGGGTGCAATCGGTATTACTTTACCACCGTGCGCCCCCGGTAAACGGACACCAATTACGTGAAATATATAACTTGTGAGCTGATGACGACTGTACCTTGTCATTATAAAGGGATGTGAATCGTTTTACAAGAAAAGTATTTTCCCCCAATATAATTATGGGTGTTTATTTTCGATTCCTGTGATTATCGGAATAATAGAACGTTCATTTAAGCATTGCTCCATTTCATTGTATATTTTCGTAAATAGGTTACCGGATAAATAAACCGAAAAGTGTTTCTATGCTATGCAGGGATGATCATCTCAAAATGGTGTGTAAACTCACCATGATCGTGATGCATGAACGGCGCATGATCTCTCCCGAGTGCTTTTTCTCGTTTGCGCCATTTTGCTCGTCGATTTTGGAACCACACCTGTTAACAAAACCATAAATAAATGTCTTTGAAAAGTCAGTCGTAATAGTAAAAGTCACCAGCCCACTAGCATGGTAATAACTTTGATTGGATCATCTATTGCCTACATTTCTATTCTATGATTTAATATAGCTTCCCAAATTCCTGTCTAGTAGTTTTTATATGACTTCATCATTAGCGATGAACTAAATTTTCATCGCTTACACAGAACAGTGCCTAATTTTGAACCCCGTAAGAACGGACACGCCACACAACGTCCGTACGAAAAATCATGGCTGGATTCTTTCCGAATAATGGATCCAATCCGAGTTGTGGACGATTTTAATTTTTTTATTGTGTAATTGTTGGCAATTTGACGCTTTCCCCGCCTCCCTCGCCCCCCACTCGTCCGCACCTCTCGACTACAATGGAACCGTAATGAAAAGCAATTACGCATACGTGGTTTCCATTCCTTCATATTCATGTACCAAAATGATCCTTCTACCATAGTCGTAACGTCGACTTTTGCATGTTATCGAACGGAGAATAGAAACAAATTGAGCTAGTCGAGCCACATTGCGCTAATAAAAAGACATTGTAGAAGGAAAAATTGGTGTAATTTCATAATTTTCAAATGAGACCATTTTACCGAGTCGCTGCATTCTTACAATGGCGCCGACTCGACGATTATGGCCGACAACACACCGCGCAAAGAAATTGGCGTGATTGACTGTCCCATTAAAATGGCACTACAATTTTATTGCAATTATCCACTACTCAAATGATGTAGTTAAACTATTCGCAATTAAGTAACTGCTCTGTTACTAAACATTAGGTACACATATACAAAAACTGATATTATTTTTGACAATATCAGAAAGTTAAAACTTGTTAGACTTAGTTCAATTTCAGACTAGAAAACTAATCTGCATTCTTCCTCGTGACCTTAGTTCGTAGAAAGTATGGCGCAGAGGTTCCCAAGCCAGCAGTGAAACTCATCAATTAAACATGGACTTAATTCGTTCGGTTCGTCAAGTGCCACTCGCAATGAATGGAACGCCTCGTGTCGATTACATAGAGCAATCACTAGACATTTTTATTGAGACCCACTCCATACCATTCTAAATTTCAACTTGAAACTTCAAACAGTGAACCCAAGATGAGCCGTAAGCTTTCAGAATAAGGTTGAATTTTAAAGAGCGACGAAGAATGTAAGTACTACGTCCTTTGTCGGCTAACGGCATCTATGGAGTGGATTAAAAGCAATTTGCACTGCGTTGAGTGTGATTTAAGAACTGTGTGGCTCCCCCAATACTTCGCTACCAATAGGGTTGGTACTCAACAACTGCAAATACGAATGCTCTTATGAAATGTCTTTGGTATTAACTTCGTATGATATTAAGAGTTTTATAGAAGTGCATAATAGAATGGATCATGTCTGCTTCTTTAGTCGAATTATCAAAATTGACGAAATCTTTTACTCATATACCTAATTATAAGTCCCTTCGCCTTTGAACAGAATATCCACGTTAATTTCTTTCACATTTGGCGTGACGTTATAAGATTTATCAATCCACGAAATATTTAAAACATCTACAACAACATTTTCCAAATTCTGATTTCGAGAAAGTGTCCATAGATTTTAGTACGAAAAAGTATCTATAGACATTTTTACTTAGTCTCCACTCCACAGACAAGAATCTGGATTATTTTCAAAAGTCTTTTTGCTTGAAATTCCCTGAAATTAAAGGATCAACATGGCAGATCCGCAGACACGATGTCATCCGAAATCATCCGAAAGTTCTCACAAATCCCTCAAGTGTCGTGTCTAATACTCGCTATTATACTGACGCCCCTCCCTCCCTCGCAGACCGCATGAAGTCCCTAATTACCAAATTGCAGGCGCTCGCTTTAACTGCAGTTAAAGAGCACTCCGCGCCAAACCGCGCTTAATTTAACCATTGTTACTTGAGATTACGAGTAATTAAGCAATAGTAGGATTTGATTAGGTGGCTAATCGATTACATTTAATTGTAGTTGAACTTGTTTTTCAGAACGTTTTAGATTTTCTCTAGTTAAGAACTTTTTTAATCGAAGCCTTAGATATTCGTTTTCATCCCCGGTGAAATCTCATGATAGTGAGATATCTAAGGTAAAAGTAACTGAGGGTTAAAAGTTAAAAATCTTATTTTTATCAACAAAAGTCAGATATAACAGCGATTATCATGAAACATGGTCACAGTGCGACGACAACTACTGACAAAGAACATAAGCGGTCGTTCAGTAACAGTCTCCACTCAAGAACAGAACGGACGACGTAAATGCACATTGGCTATTATTATCTTTTAACGGAACTTAATAATTTCATTCTTGTACAAAACGCGGCAGCCTGCAAGAGGCCTGATTACAATATCTGCAACAATTAGCGAAGGAGCCGCCGTAATGTGGTGCCGTGACGACGCTGCAAACATTAGCGCTCTCGCCACGAGAGCGTAATGACGCGCGAATTAGCGAGCATTGTACTGCGAGCCGGTGTGACGCAACCGACCACTTAATGCGATTAACTGTAGTCTTCTTCTATAGAATAGAAGCTTGCTAATTGCCGGACAGTCTCTGCCGGACTTTGCAGAATAAGATTAACACGTTGTTCTGTCCACTCCTTTTACCAAACAATGACCAAGAACCTAGAATAAGGGAAACATCGATTGCATTTTGTTATGTACCCGTCCACGATTTTTGATAATGGACGTGGACATATAGACAAGTTATGTCTCATTCGAACAAAAATCGTTTGGTAATTTTAATTGGCTTACGAACACCGTAAACGAATGCCATAAAGAAATGTATGCATAAGTTTATTTTGAACTTGGGATTAAGAAAAAATTGACTTAAATGGTGTGGCACATGACTTTGTTATGCAGATATATCTTTATTCATGTCTGTTAAGAAGCCAGTGTGCAGTCGGCTTTAGCTTTGGTGACGCGTTGCGGTGAGCGCGGCCCATCGACAATTTGCGCTCATTGTGCGCGGTGCGATGAGAATAGCACTAATTTTAATTACCCTCGCACCTCTACGGAACAGCCTTTGCAATTTGGTTAAATATGCGGCTATGTATCACTTTGCATGTGAACTAGTCATACATGAATGTCATTCTTGTCAAATTCTCAAAAATCTTATACCTACGTATGTTTATAACAGTTTGACGATTCTATTGGTCGGCTGGTCTGTGCTGCAACCAATAAGGGGTTTTCAGGTCTAATTCCTGTGTCGATAAAAGCATTGTTACAATGTTGCTTAAAAATTTTTATGATGCTACAGGGTTTTAAATTTGTCTAATTATTCGATATGACATACTCACTTATTCAATTTTTATATAGGGCTTATAACTGGCGTACTAGCATTAAAGTAGATATAACCAATTAAAGTTATAGTTTCCAGTAAAATTACAATTAAATGAAATCCTTAATTAACAAAATTCCACCGAATAATTTATTTATGAAGTGGTGATATATTTCATATTAAACTTCAACAAAATTGTTCGCGTAATTAATTAACTTGTTAATAGTAAATTGGAATCAAAATTAATTGTGTTATTAACATGATAGTACATTAAAGTGAAGTAATTAATGTGCTCGCATTACAGTGAAATTATATTCTGGTTTAAATTGAACTATGTATAGGAGATATGTATTATACTTAGATACGTTATAAATTGCCTTTATAGTTAAGTTGTGATAATAAGCCTGTTAAGCATTTAAAATGTGGCAGAGTCATGTCATGTCTTCAGTTCGAGTGAGCCGGCTCGACCGGAGTGATACCACGGCCTATCACAAAAAACAGATGTGAAACAACTCTTGCGTTGTGTCGTCGTGTGAATGAGGTTACCGGAGGCCCAATTATCCCCCTCTCCAGTCTCCTTAATCTCCGAATCCCCCACTATCCTAATTACCAATTCCTAAAAGGCCGGTAACGCCTTTGGTGTTCCAAGTATCCATGGGCGGCGCCGACTGCCTACCATCAGGTGATCCATCTGCTATTTTACCCGCTTATAACATAAAAAGAATATGAGCTCAATAATATTTAATTCCCAGGTCGAGGAAAATGATGTTGAATATTAACGAATTTTCAAAAATGTACAATAATAGCTTAGACCTGGTTTGGCGGTGTTGGTCAGAGCAAGAAGTCCTGGACCTGGATTGATTTCGCTGGGCAGGAAAACTTGTAGAATATCCACAAGGTTTTGGATAACAGTATTTGGTATCTAAAATTGCCTTGTATTAGTATACAGACACACACAGACAGTAACCTATGACTTGCTACTTGTAACATACTGGTATATAAAGTGGGTGTTACATTGTAGGTACACATGCTGCGCTTTGCTTACCTCTCTTCTGAGAGTAAAATAATGACCAAATGTCATCGTTATGCTGTCTCACCTGCACTCGAGCTTCACTAAGGTCCAGCCTCATAGCGAGCTCTTCCCGCGTGAATACATCTGGGTACTGCGTCTTATCGAAGGCGCGCTCCAGCTCGTGCAGCTGGTACGTGGTGAACGTGGTGCGGCTGCGGCGCACCTGCTTGGGCAACGAGAGTACAGGTCGATGGGAGCATTTATAAACAGTGAAAAAGGTTAATTTTACGTTATTTCAGGGAACAGCAAGTATAAGGAGTGTTACCAGGAGTATAAACACATGCTCGTCACGGGTGAAATCCTTAATTTGGGGTTACGCTTTCTCTTTCTTTAATTAAATGTTGTGCTGTTAGGGAATCGAACGTATGATAGGTACACTAGGCAGCAGTCATTACTGTGTAATCAAAGTTTTTGATTAGGATATTTTCTATAAGTTGTGCATGGAAAAATAACTGGTCGTTTAAGCGTAGTACAAACAAACTTATGTCTTATGCGGTCATCAATTCAGATCAAGTTACCTTGCGCGGTCTGCCAGCGTCCAGCGCTTCCATGTGCTCCCCGTGCTCACTATGCTCGCCGTGCCCATGTTCCAGCTCATTGTGTTCGCTCAAATCGTGCTCGTGTTCCGAATCCGAATGCGCAACACTTTCGCTTTTCAATTCTATACGATCTGTGAAAGAAAGAAAAAAAATGTGTAAGTTATTGGAAAAAATACCGTAGTTAACCAAGCGTATCGGAAAATGAATTATAAGTTGATAAACTTAAAACTCAAATCAAACTTATTTTATTTGTATCTATCTCGTTCCCACACGATATGTGATTACGATGATTATGTTAAAGGTCTAAAACTTTACAATTAATCGAATATGACGGTGATGTAAAGCTTGTTTGCAACATAAAAAATTATTTTAACAGAATACAAATTTATACTTTTCCCATTGCACGACAGTTGCATTTACCACCGATCTACTTTCTCAATAACACTAGAAATTACGACATGTGTAAAATGATTGCAATTTTACTTCTTTGTGTAACTCAAGAAATTACGTTACGTTTTACTACAACGATATATTTTAATCGAATTAAAAGAAACATACCCGTACTCTAAATAAAAAAATAAAATAAAAAAATGCGGGTGGAAATAAATAATTTTATGCTTAAGGTAGCTCTACACTCGCGTTTGACGTCGCACCGTGAATTCGCGCCGTACATAAAGCAGGTGACCCGCGCGCGACCTGTATCCTTCCACACTCACAAAGCTTCACCGTCTTATTCGCGGTTAACATGGACGACGAAGTAACTGCTGCTGCTATTTTCATAATTAACTAATTGTTTGTGTTAAACATAGTTTGTGTTAAACCTTTGTGTTAAACATAGTAACACAAAGTTAACAACACAACATAACATTAGAAGTAGGTATATAAAAAGTATCAGCTCGGCTCGAAAACTCTTAATGAGAGTCAGTTCTGAATCGTTCTAGATGTAATATTCATATTTAAAAGACAACAATAGTAATAATAAAATGAGAGCTGTTAGTGTGGATGCGTTCGTGGCCATAAAACCGACAATGAACGTGAATCGCGAACAACATCTACACTCGTAATTCGCAGTTGCCGCAGGTTTTCGCGGACGTTCACGCCGCGAGTGTAGACCCGGCTTTAGAAACCCGCATTTCTTAACATCACGGTCAGACGCATCACATACCTCGGCCATTTTATCCTCGGTCGTCTCAAGAACAACACGATTGTCAACTCATTAACTCGAATATTTTTAATTTTTACTTTGAATTAGTTTTTAACAGTATTTATTGTAATTAGGCGTAAGATTTATGAGAATTGTAATATTTTCGTAGATTTTAAACTACCTAATTTAATTATTTGTAGTAGACGTTGAATGTAGTCCTATATACCTAGATAGCACGTGGAAGCACATGGCAGACATGTCTTTGAAACTAAAATCAATATGTAAGTACTATTTGTAATTATTTTATTATCATCTACATCATTTTAACATTATAATTTTTACTTTCCTATCATTTTAGTACAAATCCGATCAATTATGTGATACAACTATTTGAATTTTTTTGTCAACGTGTTTAATGATCATCAGATTTTAATCATGATACCTACACTACCATGATCGCAAACGTATCTTATGAACACGAGGCATTGTGTTCGGTTTTCGGGTTAACTGAAATATGTTTTATTCGATTTTCATAACTTTCGGTTAAATGCCTTTAGTACATTGTCAGTAATTAGTTAATCTATACACATCTACCCGCTTCTTACTATAATAAAACGCGTGATGTACTTGAAGGTCAATACTATTGGCGACCGACCGCATGGCATCGTTTTCTTTTTCTTACGAATGCATAAAGGCGCCGATCCACTGCGGCGCAAACTGTGCACGAACACGTGGCTCAAATTGCGTAAATTAATTTACTGGACCACGTAATTTATGTCCACGTGTTTTATAATGGAAGTGTAGTACACACTATACCTTCATTAACCCATGCCTATAACAAGGTCCTCACATGGTATCAAACTATGATGTATTGCAGTAGCAATGCAACTACAATACATCAAAGTTTTTAACTCGTGTCTCGTGGATTATTTCGCGATGTGTAGAAACATAGGCTCACGACCTCATGGTCAAACAAATAAATTATTGCAGCTAGCTTCTAATGCGCGTCATACGCGTTGGCAATGCATTTCTAACTTATTTCGTGTTGCATGTTTTCATGGGCGGCATGATTGCTTCTCCGGGATCCGTCTGCTCGTTTCTTTCAATAAAAAATGTAATGCGTTGTTTTCTTGTGGACAACGTGTGTAGCGATTGTATAAACTATGTAGCACATGCTTGATGATGTGGCACTATATGTTCACTATGCATGGAGTACATTGATAGCATTGAGCTATACAACATTTTACTTGAGCAAGCCCCGCATGTACCCAATAATGTTTACCGGGTCTGTGGGTTGCAGTGGACACAATTGGGGACATTTTTCTCCCAAAGCTAACACTATTACACGTGCGTAACCTCTTTACACGTGCGCGCAGTGCAGTGGATCTTCATCCTTAGTGAAAAATAACATAACATCACGCCTTTTATCCCCGAAGGAGTAGGCAGAAGTGCACATTATGCCACTGTACAATGTAACACCCACTTTTCACTATTTATGTTATGAGTCTCATGTAATAGGGGGTGAGCCTATTGCCATATACTGGGCACAGTTCCAGACTCCGTGCTACTACTGAGATTTTTTTTAAACACGGTAATAATTTGCCCGACTCGGGAATCGAACCCGAGACCCCTTGCTCGGCAGTCTCACTTACAACCACTCGGCCAACGAGTCAGTCCTTAGTAAGAACAAAGATAAAATAGATGTTTTACCTTCATCGTTTTGTATTAAAGTATAGAATTAATTAAAGAACTTTTACGGTTTTAATAACTTTATGTTTGTAATTGTTTCTCGGTAGTCATTTAAGTTTAAACATTTTTTTGGCAAACCTACTTATCGCTGTGGTTTAGCACGTGTCCATCGAATCTACAACACATTGACGATTTCAGCATTAAACAAGTACTTATTTAAATCTGACCTGAGAGGTGATATTTGTAAGTTCCGATTATTAGGATTTTGCCATAAAAATAATTTATTCGTGTACTTTTTTCTCAGGTGTTTTAACAATCGTCCTGCCATACGCCAAGGAGCGGTGACTAATTCAACAATATGAAGATCATGGAAATAATAGCGGGTCACATTCTCAAGTGATACCTGTCAATGTAAGTAACATAAGTTTGTTTTCATTGAATATCTGAATAGATGTTAACTAAATATTTTATCTTTGTATATGATGTAATCACTGCCATTGGTAGACTGGCCTTGCAGTGTGACTGCCGAGCAAGAGGTTTCAGGTTTGGTTTCCAGCTGTGCTCAAATAAAATTTCTATACCTCAATGGTCACTATTGTCGTAAATGTATATGCAACTGTAGAACAAGGTTTAATATCTGGGTCGACCGATGCCATGTTAAACATCATAGTTCTATAAGTTTAAGAGTGTTGCGGAGAACCTAACGGGTTACCGGGGCTCCGGCTCAACGTGCAGGAGTAGGAACGGGGTGGTTTTTAGTCAGTAAGAGTCTGACACTCCCTCCCGCCTCACCCAGGCGGGAGCAGTCATTCGATGATTTTCCCCCATTCAAAAAAAAAATTCGTTTAAGGGTCACATCACACTAAACGACACAATTTGCTCATAACAGTCAACTCAAACAAACCATTAAAAAACTGTTAAAGTTCACAATAATCGCTTGTTCCCACCGCTTCACATTTGATTGACATGACATCGATCTGCTAATCCGGTGCTACTGCTCGGTACTGGCCCAACGTAAGCCGCATCACCCTACGTACAGCTTTCACATACTGAACATCATCCATTCTAAACTATACCCTACACCCTACAGATACAGATTGAATTCTCTTGTCAAGATTACGACCCTCGTTAAACAAGCTGGATTTAACAAAACACACGTATTGTAAAGCACTTAACATCGTTCGTATTCACTGTTTATTTATACTAATACTATTTTTATACGAGCTTTGTTACAATTGAACTGTAACGTCTGAACAATGCGATGAACAAAATGAGAATGATTATAAAAGATGTTCAGTATGTTGTTAGCTGTAAAGCAGCCGTTGATAATGGTAATGCTCATCTTATACGACCCTTACTCGCTTTGTAATTTCAATAATCTATACAATAATTTGTGTATACGAGAATTTGCTTCTGCATTATAAAGGGGTGGTAATAGTGAATTAAGTAGATTACATTTAAAACAATTTGAAACCTGCTCAACAATTTTCTAAAACAATTTGCAACTTTCTGTTTAATTTGTCTCATTGGTTAACCCGTCGAGCGTCCGCGTTCCTTATGATCCAACGGGTGCACACGTGACATTTGGAGTTTTTTTTCTTATGATCCACCGGGTGCTCATAAGGACGCTCGAGGGGTGATAAGGTCGCACTAGTAAAGCAATTCAAGGCCAGGGACTGATTGACTTAAGTACGAATGACGCATTTACGTGTATTTTACTTGTTCATTTTTAATTACAAAGTTAATTTGTAAAAAGTAATCTCTAAACAACGGAAATAAGGGCTATAACTCACTAACTGTCCTACTCTCTTAAGGAAATAGAAGACGTAAAGTCATATTGTTTAATAATGTATTTGGTAAATAATAGCATCTTTACTTTTCCAGGTACAATGGAGTAACCTCCGACCATGTGTGTATGCCGATAAGTTGACTGAACACCGATAAGGCGCATACAACTTATGCACCGAGGCTGAAAGTAATGGAAGTGCCATATACACGTAGGCCATACACCTTAGGTACGTATTCTTTATCTGTCTTTACTAATAATATAAAATATTATATCAAAATATTTATGAACGCTCTCGCCACCCCTACAATTTTGAAAAGTTCCCCTCGGTTTCCACGGGATCCCATCATCAGATCCTGACCTGGTGGAAATGAAACCATCCCGAGAGTATGACCTTTCCACCAAAAAAAGAATCATCAAAATCCGTTCACAAACGCCGGAGTAATCGGGTAACATACACAAAAAAAACTAAAAATACATACAGCCGAATTGGTACCCTCCTCCTTTTTGGA